TGAGGAGCTCTGTCACACGAGAGGAGAAATTAATGTGCGTGGAAAAATTAATGTGCGTGCGCACATACAATGATCCAACAATTTTCTTTATTCTGGAAGGTTTACAACAGTCAAATACAGCTCACGATGAATGAATAACCCTAAGTGTAATGGCCACAAAAAATGACGGACCCCATTATAAGGCGCATTATCAATAACCGGGAATATTTTCATACATAAGGCACACCGGCGCGAGAAATAAAAAGAGTTCTTGAGCACACAAAAAAATCGACAGCTATGCGTCTGAGTCGTCCTGCATCGCACCATACATCGACAATTCAAAAACACAAAAACAGTCTCCGGGTATTTGGAGGCACGACGCGACGTTGCGCGGATTTGGGACTTGTTGAGCATCTTCTAATTGTGATAACTGAGTTAAACGTCATAGTTGGCTCCCAATGTGGTTTAGTTGTATACCATCATGTATTATGCGCTGTGTTTGGGTTTGGCTTTATAAAATCAGTTCGAGCTCAGTAAGCGCAAAAAGAAGTAATACACAAGGCGCACTGTCGATTTTTGAGAAAATTAAAGGCTTTTAAGAGTGCCTTTTAGTGTGGAAAATATGTGTTGCCAAAAAGTGACTGTTAAGTATCTGACAATAGCATTAAGGCACAATGAATGGAATGAGCTGAATAACACTTCCCTCAAGCAATTACACATTTCAGTAAAATACCCACAAGTCCAGCAAACAACAAGTAATCTGCTTCAAAAAAAGTTGCTCCTTCACTCTACCTGGCAGAGTCCAAGTTGCTGTGTTCACAAGTCTTCTCCATTGCACTCCATCTGTTAAGACAATAGCATACAAGGCACAATTAATAACAATGAGCTGGAATAACACTATCTGTGTAGGCTTTTTCTCTTCAGTTCAGCAGAACTCATTTACCTCTTGCCGTCAGGGTGGAAAGCCAAACTCCTCCACGTAACCAGTTTGGAAGAACACGTCATTGTGTCACATGTTAAGAGAAACAAACAGGTTTTCCTTAAAAGCAGCTACAAAGTAGTCACTACCACAGCACTGCCAACAACTACATGTTAACACATCACTATAAACAGTGATGAAATACAGAATACAGAAATACAAAGTCCTGGCTACTTCAGTGCTAATGCAGACCCCACAATGGAATAAGGGCTACTGCACATTTTGTTCATCTGTTTCTTTTGTTCAGATGAAGACAACAGTCACTGGATGCTTTATGCAACCACACAATAATACTCTGGAAACACCACTTGAACTCACCTGGCCTCAAATTTGCCAATCCTGGTGGAAGTTGTGGTCACTTCCATGGCCTCCTGCCCACTTCCCATAACCACCTACAACACACAATTGGAAGGTTCGGGGTCACTATTGATCTACTAGGATACACATTCCACAGCGACAACAGCTGTCAGCTTTGAACTAAGCAAACTTTTATTCAAGCACTCATCTCTCCTCAAGGCTTTAAAGTCACAGACAGTCAGCTTTATTGGACTGCAATCTGTCAACAGTAAAAAGTAACAAACACAGTAACACAAACCTATAATGGCCCATTATTATTCAAAAGTCTATTTAAGAATATAAGTCAGTGGATTCACATTACAAGGTCTGTAGTGTGGACAGATTGACCAATACACCTAGACTGAAGGAAAATGTCAAATAACTGGGACAAGTGGACACAAAGTAACCACACCTACTACTGTGTGGGTTTTTTTGTGTATCTTCTTTTAACCCCCAGTAAACTGCCAATGTTTACTTCAGTTCACACATACTTGTATAACAAACTATTAATAAATATCTTCAAATACATTTGTGTTGTTCTACTTTGGAGCGGGGGTCTTGAGCACAAATGACTGGAGGGTCACCTCTCTATTCCATACATATATAAACAACGACAAATCCAAGAGTTAAAAGGAAAACAATAAATCTTTTCATTTGTTGAAGACTTCTGTCAGGCAACTGGACATGAGATTTTCACTCAACAGAGGAGGTGGGCTGAGACACAAGCTTTCACCCACACACCGAATCCATTCTGATGAGGATTACAACGACCCATCAGACTCCTAACGACTGTTAACACTTCACCAGATGACCCCGAAGGCCCACCCAACATATTTCCGAAGCAGTTTAATTTTTTTTAATCACTCCCCACCACCAGTTAGAACTAAGAAAGCTTTTTGGATGAGGGGAGAGACATGTTCTTGAGAAAATGTCACATCCAGTTGCCTAACAGAACTCTTCACCCTTGACCTGGACGATCTTCATAAACAACTCTTTTCTTTATTCGCCTTCAAAAACTGTTCTCTCCTGAGCTTTCTTCAGGACTTCTCCGGAATATTGACAACAAATAAACAACAAAGAGAGTTCCTCATTATCACAAGCTCTACAGAAGATGCTGCCTGTGATACATTATTTCCTTCAGTATTTCATTTCTATAATACTGTGTGCAAACTATTTGTTTAGAAGTACTCAGAAAGCTGTGTACTATCTGCAGTCTCGTTTCTTTTACGGTATTATTTGTTTATGTTGCGCATGGCGATTACCTACCGATCTGTGGATCCCTCAGGTCGAACAAGTTCATGAAACACTGACAGCCCATCTGCTCGTCTATGGAAAACATGATGATGTTGCCGCTGAAATCGAACCGGCGTGTTCTGATGGAAGACATTAAAGAAGGGACAATCACCAAAATATAAAACACTTGACAGGAAATGATCCAAAATACATTTAAACACTCATCCACTAATATGTCTGCTGGAATCACCTGTATAGATAACTGTTTATTTCATGTCATTATTTCATTAGTCAACTATTTACACTGTGCAAACATCTCATATATTATATATTTATTTCATATACTTGTTCACATAACATCCCTATAATTATACTAGTTCTGCTTATATGATATATATTATATATCATAGGTATAACATGGTATACTTCACTATACATACACATTACACCAATTTAATTTAGAATAACAAGTAGTAGTATAACACAAATATATATAATAATTTATACATTTATTTAGTACAATAACTGTCTAACAATTAATCACAATATTACATTTATTATGCTTTTATTGGCTTAACAACACTGTGCTGTTGCATGACAACAAAACTTTTAATGTCATTGTTGCAGTATGCCAGTTGTCCCTTGTTTATTGTGTGTATTGTTTGAGTTCACCTTCACCTTGGTTATATTTTCTGACACTACTCAGGAAATGTTAGGGCCTTCATGTCGCTAATTATTAGTGATATCGACTTATGACATCCCGGGTGAAGACACAGCAGCCTAGCGAGCTAAATAACAAAAAAGGATACAGTCACAGCCGACGCACCGCATAGCTTCCGTGTGTCCGTTGTAGGTACCGAGTACCACAGGTTGGCCACCTGCGTGGGGAGACACTGTTGAAGGTAAATATTAAAAGCCTTCAATGCAATCATGGCTTCACTTCACAAATTATTGGTTTGCCCTACATTACTGACGCCACCAATAACCTCAGGAAGAAATCCATGTTGCACTACTTTCTTTTTAATCTCAATGAAAATGAATCAAGTCTACTGGTCTTAGTCATGTCCCCTTTTCATGATTACAGTATCATTTTCATATCACACACTATAGAGCATATAGCCTTATGTTTGTAACAAAACTGCAACTCAAAACTAGCAGAGAATTACTCTGCTACTCGACTGGCAGAGTCGTGTTGCCATTTGTAGCTTCACGTGGACATTCCATATTCTTGATGTCAAACTAATTACTATCCTGTAGTCATTGGTGCAATCATTTCGTGTCACTAACTGGATCTTTAGCGGCGGAAAACAGGTCTCCTTCTGTTGAACTTCATCTGAGTGGTGGACCGTTCGTGGTCCTGCAGTAGGATGGGTTTCTGTACAGAAAAGCAATATTGGCAAGTTAATTTTATATTTTCAAAATGGTGCATCAGCCCAACTCAAACTCCGATCAAAGGTCAATTCTTTATTTACCACCACAACTCAATATTCATGTTTAGGACGAAATACAAACTATGAATGTCAAAAGCTAACGTTAGCTTCCGAGACACATATGCTAGCGTAAACTGCACAAACGGTCTCGACAGAACGACTACCATTTCAAACAAAATACAACCAACAATTGTTTTTAGAAACCCACCATTTAAATCAATCACATGTAACCACCGTGCCCAGTTTTTTAACTTGGACGCCTGGTAGAAGCCCAAACGGCTAACACGCGTATCTCATGCGCCGGAGCAACAACCGGAAATTAGGACAACAACGTATTTCTATTTCCGTTATACAAAAGTTCCGATATCAGCGCGACTGGTTATTTTTAGGATTCTATTCGTGATAGTGCGTGATGGATAGCTTGTTTTTTGATAATGTTTTGACATGTTTAGATATGTTTTTTTAGCACAAATTATTAACTTTGCAGCATGTTTTGGGGCATAAACATTCATTTTGATTTATTTCTGAGACTGTTTTTTGCATTTTTCTGACAGTAAAACTATAATCTTGTTTTTGGTCAAATTTTGACAAATTCAGATATGATATTTTTTGAAGTTTTTAGCACAAGTTATTCACTTGGCAGTATGTTTTGGGGCATAAACTTGTATTATGATTTATTTCTGGGAGTCTTTATTTTTTTGCATTTTTCCGAAATAGTAAGACTATAGACTTTCTTGTTTTTGGAGATATTTTGACATGTTCAGATTTGTCTTCGAAAATTTAAAAAAAGATTCCCCATTAGATGACGTAAATTCGCATTTTGCGCAACGGTGAGCAGCGTCAATCACGCTTCTTATGTAGTATAGCAGCCTCCTAGCTGTTTCTATTTATGTATTTATTTTAAAGGTGTTGTCAGCTACTGTCTCCACTGTTGTCAATTCATTCCCAACTGAAGGTTTTCTCTTATTGAATGTACTTTATTAACAGCAGTCAATAACATAGCTCTGTTTTCAAATCAAAACACATTTGCACCAAAGCCTCAGAAGTTAAGGGCATAGAATAAATCATTATTTACAACTGATCAAAAAAAAACAACTACAGAAAAACAACCAAAGTTCAATGTTGGCTGATGGAATGGCTTTTGGATCTGTACTGTGTTTTCTACAGTATTCCCTTCACTTTTAAGCAGTAGTGTGCACAAGTCTCTTGGAATATTAGGTTTAACCCAGACAATGTGAGATAAAAAATAAAAATGATATTTATAGTTTATCAGAATGTCAGAGTCATTTCTACTTGCAGACCACTGCATTGCATGCACATGATTATCTGTGTTAACTGAAACAGAGGTAGAACTCTCTGTTGGTTAAAAATGGACGATCCTCCATGTGCTTGAAGACATTCAGTCCACAAAGCTTCAGTTTGGCACAAACATTTAGTACAAAAGAATGAAGAAAAAAAGAATGCCCCATTCAACTGGAAATTACACAGAAGAGAAAAAAAACTCTATACCAGAGTATGTTTATGTTTCACCAAACAATGTCACTTCAAGTCTACCAAAATATCAAAGGAAACTAGAAAAGGAAAATGATATTACAGAAAAACCCCTACACACAAGTGGTCGTCACAATGTGTTTTCATCATGCTGGTTTTAGTCACTGTGTATTACTGGAATAACAAGAAGGTAGTGATTGTTTCTGGTCACTTTCTTTTGAATGTGAAGATGTGATGTACAGATGAGGTGAGAACATCAGAGACTCTGCTTTACAACAGCAGCATGTTAAAATATAACTTCTAAACACATCAGGTTCAGCTAGGGAGCTCACAATATTTTGTTTTGAATTAATGAACAAAATGTCACAATATACAGTGGAACCTCGGCTGTCGAATGCTTCTCTTTTTGAACAATTTGGTTTCCGAACAACATTTTTAACCTAAAATCCCGTCAGTTGTTGTACCATAACTTGGTTGATGAACACGCCAACGACATCAGGCAGTCAGCAGGTGATCACTGAGTGACTGAGTGTGTGGCGTCAGTCTGCGATCAGGATATTCACGCTAAGAAGTGATGTCTGATTTTGCTGGTATTTCTTTATAGCTGTGCTATTTCTTTTCTTTTTTATTATTATTCAATAAATCACCATGGGACCTGAAAGAGGCTAGTGAATGTGGAAAGGTGGGAAAAAATAGTGAGAACAACAACAGAAAAATCTGTGAATTTGTACCATTCTTAAGAACAAGGAAGCAATTTATGACTTCTTAGCTCCAGTATAGATGAATAAAATTGCCTTTCCTATTTATAGCTTTATTCTTTATTCAGTTGTGTTGATCTTTTTTAATGAACCTGTTCACAAAATACTGTTGGAAATGTTTGAATAAGCAGTCATCCAGGGTCCAGGAATGGATGAATCCATTTTACATTGATACCTATGGGGGAAATTGTTTCAGTTTTCGGACTTTTTGGTTAATGAACAGCCTTCAGGAAGTTCGAAAACCGAGGTTCCACTGTATTAGCCTTCTTTAACAGAAGAGCCAAAGCACAAACCGTATTTGTGCAGTTTGCAATCAAACTTTTGAACTGAAGTTCAGGTTTACTTTCTAAATGTATTCCAAGTTGATGATGGGTGTAGTAAAACAGTTTTGTTTCTGTTTCTAAAGTGGAATTATGTAAGACTCCTAAATATATCCACTATGCTGTGTTCAATCTACCAACAGAAGAATACGGGGGCTTAACAATCCTGTCCTGTACATAGAAAAAAACAAACAAAACAGAGTTCATCCTTCTACCAGAATAAAAAACTTGTCTTGTGTAATTTTTCTTTAAAGACAGTTTTCAGAGTCTGCCGAATCGTCAGGAAAACACTGTCTCTTGGTTTTGAAATCCAAGGAAAAACAAAAGATCGGGACGCCGTCTCTGCCTCATCTCGTCCTCCAATCTGTGAGGGAACATGCACTGAGATTCACTGATATTACAAATTTAGAGTATGTGCATGAACAACGTCACAGAACATTACAGTAGGAGTTTGAACCTGGTCAGTACGGTGTTGTCTCTGTCTCAACATTCACATCAGTTTGTTTTCTTAAACACAGCTGCAAGAATAGTTTCTGTTCCCACAGAAGCAGCTCTTTACTGAAACGTGGACCAAACCAGGTTTAGGAACGGACTGAAGAAGAGGAAAGTTGAAGTAAAGTAGGATAATGCAGATGCTGAAGAAGGAGATGCATGGTCAGGATTGGAGTCTGCCTCCTAGAGGCGACATCCAAAACGTTCCCTTGTATCTTTAAGCTCTGGGGTTGAGGTCTTCAGCCTTATTTCTCTCTGTAGAAAAGCAGGTACATCTTCAGAGGCTCTGGCAGCGGCAGACCCAGAATCCTCTCTCTCAGGAGGTTCACGGCTGGCTGAGGTCGCAGCAACTCCCCAGTTTCCTTCTCCTCCTCTTCTTCTTGCTCCTCCTCCTCATCCACTACCTCGTCCTCCGCGGCCGCGGCCTCCTGCTCTTCCTCTGCAGTCTTGGCTGCTCTCCTTGTCCCCCTCGTTTGTCGCCTCCTCTCCCTCTCTCCTGCAGTTGCCTCCTCCTCGTCCACAGCTCTCCCTCCCTGGTTGTTGTTACCGTCCAGCGTAGCCACCACCTGGATGCTGCACTGACGCCGGTGGACGCGCCGCCGTTTGAAGCGAGGGCCGTACTTATGCAGCCCCGCCACGGCCAGCCCCCGACCCACGCTAAAGGAGGAGCCACGGCCGCGTGACTGGCTCTCTTTCTCGTCTGTAGTCACTCTGAGTGTGTGACGGATGCAGATACGAGCCAGTTCCTGTAATGTCCGCACCTCATACCTGGCTGCAAATTGAACAAACCAAAAGAATAAGGAGAAAAAGTAAATCAACAGAAAAATAACAGATGTAAACATTAAAAAAAAAAAGGTATTATAAAGGTATTTTGCGCAATTGTAGCACATTACACATCTAGAAAAGACCCACAGTAAGTTAACCCATACAATCTCAACAACAGCCGAAAGCTAAGTTTAAATTTTTTTTAAGTAAAAACAACTTCAATAAAGTCAAAATTAAACTAAAAATTGGTCCCAAAATTGCTAAAAGTGTAGCTGAAAAATGTTTAACAGCTGATGTTTACAAAGCCAAAACTATCTGAGAATGGATCAGATAGTTTTAAAGAGTACAACAACTTAAGTTGGACAAATATAGTTAGTATATATATATATATATATATATATATATATATATATATATATATATATATATATATATATATATATATATATATATATATATATATATATATATATATATATATAATATTAGTAAAAGTTTATTAGTAAAAGTTAGCAAAGATAAGGCTCCGGGTTGGCTAAAGACATGGCTTTGATTAGAGTTACTGCTGCACTATAGTGTTTATAAAAGTCAAACATAGTTTGGACTGAGACTCACGGAGTGGGACAATCTTGGGTTTTCCATTTGGTCCATGTTTAGGTAAAACCAGAGGAGCAAAAGAGACTGAGAGGATCTTCTTGGTCTCCCAGGTGCTGGTCCCTGTTCTGGTGATCTTTGTCAACTGCAGAGGGAGACAAAAGACAGCAGAAATAAAACTCTTATTCCAACGATTCTGATGTGTTTTTGTTCACAGAAACCACTTCTTCACCATGAGTTAGTCCTTCTGTCTGACTTGGCCCAATATGTTGCTATATGTGGTATATTGTAGAGGCTTCTCTGTAATCATAGTAATGATCTCTTCACCACCAACCCTTCGCTCTCATGTTCAATTCTCGGCAATATATATTATATATAAGTCTTATATATTATATATTATATTAAGTCTTATACCATACCGTTATACTATTGTAATGTATATTATATACAGTATATTAACTTACTGTACATCATTCCTAGATCATCTAAAAACAGCTTTTGATGCTTTATTCAGTATGAAAATAAATAATAGTAAAGCAGTTTATGAGAATCAAATTTGACATTTTCTGTTTGTTTTGAGACCATGCTCCATCATACAAGAATGGTTAATAAATTTCCAAATTTGCAAATTAAAATGGAAATGCCAAAAAACAGGTCTAAACATGTGGGTTTGCTTTTTCACTTAAACAGTCTGGTAGTCTAATCTATTTTTCTTTTTTACTGGACTAAATACATCCACTTAAATCCACTTTAACTGATGCACTGTACAGTAAACTCACCTTTGGGATGTTGTAAAGTTCTGCATGAATAAATGATTATTAACAGACTGCTAGGCACGTTACCAACCTTCTCCTCCAGGGGCATCACCAGGATGCCCCCGATCTTCAGCAGGTTCCTCATGTAGTCTTCGTGCTCCTTCTGGACTCCAGCGCCACAGTAAACTCTGTCATACTGACGACTTTCTAGAGGAATGTCCAGACAGTTGCCCGCCACGAAAGACGGCTCGCAGAACTCGAACCTGAAGAGAAACGCAGATAGGATGAGGATCATGGACAGGGAAGGGGAGGGGACGCAAGGAGACGAAGATCACTGACTTGTCGAAGCTGTCACTGGTTTTGATGAAGGAGTCAAGTTTCTGGTAGGCGTAATCGATGACGTCGGCGTGCAGCTCGATGCCGTGGTTCACACCGAACGGTCCTGTGAACATACAACAGTACAGTGGTAAATTAAAGAAATATGTATTATTCAATTAGATTCTCTCGTCTTCAAATGTCTCCTGTTTTTTCCAAACTATAAAGAAAAAGTCTGCTCTATGTCCTTGTGAGCTGAAACTGGGCGTCCAAAAGTGTAAGCTGTCAATATTTATTGTTATTTCTGTTTTTATTTCTAGCTGCCTGGCTAATAGCAGAAATATACAGTGTGACTGCATGGTGACAAACAAACAAACAAACAAATACGAAATAACCAAATATGCAGCCACTGTATTGAAAATGATCATAATCTTTTAGAGCAGCAGAAAACATTCAACCCTGTGTGAATCGCAGAACCATTTGACACAGGAGTGATACAGATTAGGGATGGGGGCGATCCAATCTAGTATCGGTATCGGCAGACGATCACAACATAATTAGCGGATTGGACTGAGCCGATTGTACCAGAGTGCCAGTTTGCAGGGAAGCGCATGTTACATTTATAGTTTGCTGGATACATTTGTGTGTGTGTACAAGAATATGAGCGCACGTTGGCCACCTGTGAGAGTATCTGGCTTGACAGGAATTCGGAAACAGGGAGTTTGTGGATACACTTTTCAAGGCCTTATAGGAGCCAGAGAAACAATAATGAATAGATTTCCCATCACTGGCTAACACTGGTCGTTTTCAGTGTTTTTTTCCACTACAAGTCAAATGGTGAATAATAACACAAAATATAATTTTGTCATAACAGAGCGGTGTAACCGTCTCTTCATCCAATACCACTAACTTAATTAAATATAAAAAGTGCCTCATCAAAGAGGACATGAATGCGCCATGGGACAAAAAGAAGTAAAGAGTAGCAGTAGCAGACTTTGTTCCAGCCGTGACCGTTTGAAGACTCCTGTCGGCTGAGGAGAGCAGCGTTGACAGAAAAATAAAAACAACACGCTCGTCCTGGATGTGCGATACAAGGACATTAAATTAATGCTCATATTATTAATGTTTTCTAACTAAAAAAGGTCATATAACTACGTGTTGATTGGCTGTCAATGTAGCCAGCACTGATTGGATAAGGGTGGGTGAATGTTAAAAAATGAAATGAAATGTTAAATTTCAAACTTCCTTCCTTTTCTGACCTTATACTAACCTCAAGGTGCCTTTTGGGAAATACATGCAGAAAATAATATTAAAGCAATAGTATCGGCTGATATCCAAATCCAGATATCGGGATCGAAAGTAAAATGTGGATCGGTGCATCATTAATACAGATCCAACACATTCACACCTACCAAAAACAATGCACATCAATGTGTATGAATAAAGATGCTTTTAAGTCATGGGAAGTGGCTTTAGGACACACAGAAGTCGCAACATACACATGGAAAACACAACACACTGCAGGTTTTTCAATGGACTTTGGTGGATGATAGATGGATGGATGGATGGATGGATGATGGATGATGGATGGATGAATGGATAGATAGTATTCAGTTATGTTGTTGGATCAGTACTACAAGGCTAAAACGTACCCAGAATGAGGCCGACCATGGTGCTGAGGTACCCAGTCCCACTGCCCAGGTTGAGAAAAGAGAGTCCTGGGTGTAGGTCCAGAGCCTCCATCACTTCAGAGTAGATGCACGGAGCAGACAGGTGGATGTTCCCATGTCTCCACGCCAAGTCCTAACCAGCACAACGATATATTACTTCTTACAGAACAGCAGCAAAACAGAACCTACCTAAGATAGGATGTGATTTTGTATGAGAGACCAATCATAATCTTTTACCCATATGCCTGAAAACATACGGTATATAAACTACACATCTTTGATAATGTTGTCCAATCTCTCCAGTCACCTTGTAGGCGTTATCTCTATACTCATCCAGATAATAGTCGGCACGGTCAATGGCTCTGAAAGCCTTCTCCACCAGGTCGGAGCGGATGTAATAAGCCTCCTTCAGGTTGTCTATCAAGTCATCGTTGTCTTCACCGGCACTGACAGCTCCACCCATCCTGACTGAAAACAACAAAGATGAGAATCTGAAAAACAACCAACGACTCCATCATCTTTTCTTTTTTTTTAATTTAACTGTCGTTCGTTTTTGATCCGACATTTCAATATCAACAGACCTAAAATTGTATTTGAAACTGTTTACACTGCTTCATTCAAACTGTCCGGCTGCGTTGTTTCAACTCAGAAGAATTTCTACCCAGTTGCCCTGAACTTCCTCTTATTGGTTCATTCACCTTTAACAGGTCAGTAAAGTCTGTGCATTTGTCTTGGCACCAGCTTCAGAGACCAAAGTGTTGGCGTTTATCACCAGAGTGTGACTGCTTTAGGGTTGTGTTAAAACCAACAGCAGAGGAGACAAATGTGGAGCAAGAGGAAAAGATCAGACCGAGATTAAGAGCACGGAGTAAAGTGTGTTCATTCATCAGCACCTCCTCCCTCTGGGAGAAACAGGATGAGATGTTTTATGTGACCATTATTTGAATGCGTGAGCTTCCTGATTCTACACAGCATCGACAGGATGCGTTTGTAAAATAATTGGATGATATGATCAACGGATACAAAAGAACTGCTTATTATTTTAACTTTCTAGTCCAGAGTCTGTGGCAGAATTCAGGTTGTATAAAAATCAGTCAGTTTGATTAGAAAATACGTATTGACTTTATTGGATGGACTTATATATATATATAGTCAGCAATTTGCTGTTGTTTGCGAAAAGATTGTATTCTTTAAAATTTTTATTTATTAAAATCAAAAAGATTTAACTCAGTATTCAAACAGTCAACCAAGTATACAGAAAATAAATATTGACCTTGTTTTTAAGGAAGACAATTCTCTTTTCGCCTCAAATTTTGTGTTTTAGGGACAATTTGAGAAAAAAATAAGCAAGGCCAAAAACATGAATTGAAAATTCTTCCGTGTTGAAGGTATTACTCGAAAGATAATCTTTACAGGAATATAAACGATTGATACCGGGGTTTAGCTCATTTCACGTTGACACAAAACGACCTCTGGTGGGCGACATAACACACTGTCAGGGCTTAAGAAGTGGTTTAGTAGGCTAGTAGGGTACACACATACGTACAAACGCACACAGAGACGTCCTGCAGCAGCCCGTTTGCTAATTCACCAGCTTCTGTGGCTTAATCGGATTATTGTGCTGTGATATAGGGACGTGGTCCCCCACGGTTTATTCTGTATTATTATTATTTTAACAGTTCTGCACACAACAACGACGTCGTTCCGCTGCTGCAGCGGTGGTTAGGAATATGCGCCACTCAGGTGCTTCCAATTTTAACACAAACACCGACAGAAACAAATGACTCACCGCAGCAAAACGGACGCTAAATGTGCGCAGAAAGACAACCCACGGTTTACGCACAGGGACACTGTCACACACAGACAAGGTCAAAATGTTCTCTGGAGGAAAACAGGCTGAAATCGAGACAGCGGAGTTGTGTGTCGCCGTAACCGAAAACGCACACAAACACAGAGAGAAACACACAAATTCCACACCCAGATACTGCAGCAGCTGCAGACCTACCAGCTGATGTGTGAGCCGGTGAGGTTCCCTCCGTGTACTGCCTTTTGTTCCTGAGATATGAGAAGAAACCGAGGAGGAAGAGGGTCAGACACAAACACATACACACAGAAAAACTGCTGGATGTAAACAGTCAGCCAGCTGACGCTCTGACGTCACACGCAACGTACGTGACGACGCACGGTGGCCTATATTTTAAAAGAGGATGGCCTATATTCTGAAAATACAGCAACACCCCCCCCAACATTAAGACTACAATTTGAGGAAATAAATATAACTTTCCTCGAAGTGTTTTAATTATTTACTTCAATTTTACTTCCGTTTCAGACTACAAGACAATCAATTTTCAAGGAATTTCGTATAGGTTTCCACCTTCTCTAAAGGAAACATTTGAAAGGCTGTCCATACATTCGAATAAAGTGTAAATTCAACACAGAAAGACGGTTGCAGTGTAAAGAGTGGGGCTTAAAGCATTAGTTTCAAACTCAACTTAAAGCGTGTGTAGAGCATTTACACATGCATCTAACCAAAATGTCCGGTAGATGTCAGTGTAGCTCAGCATTCTAACTGACAAAGTAGCTGCAGTACATTTTAACACAGTGGTCACTGAAGTCTCCCATTTTGTTTACCAGTCGTGTATGTGTTATGTGTGTCTGGTCATGGAGTCGGTGGTGGTGTGATAGCCACAACGAGAGCGCTTATGCTATGTTAGCTACTTCATATACTTCTGTGGCTAAGTTTTCGCTAGGTCTGAGCTAGCTTTGCATATCTATATGATGAATATTTGTGTTTTTTGTTAATATCTGCCCATCTCTAATAATAAGTAATATAAGCAGTGTTTTAACATTGTTTTTTTTTGTGTGTGTGGTTAATTGTTATATGTTTTTTGGTTTTACCTATATTTTTCTTTTATCTGCCTAACTTTGAGCTACTGTATTTTGAACATTGTAACATATGCCATTTCAACTAGTGCTAAAACTGATTCTAAGTTAGCGCTTAGCTAACTTGCTAACTTTTCTATCACTTTGGCCTACTTGGTCTTTTTACTGCATTTTGGCTAATATTTAGCACACACGTAGGTGGGGGTGGAGTGAGACAAACACACTTATCTTTGTCTATGAGTCTTTATTTGTGTTTTTCATAGAGAACATTTAAAATGGTTCATACTCCCACAATAACTGACATCACTTCTCTGCTTTATAACACTGACACAGGAACAGGGGAAACATGTACACAAGTACACAAACACACAGTCACAATTTTCGGCCCATCTACAGTGTTTAACTTCCCAAACAAACAAACAAACAAAAAAACAGACAAGAAATCTTGAAAAAAAACATATAAGTAAATAAAATGAACCCAGAGGACACACAGCCAAGGCCTGTCCCACTTTACAAAATGGTGCGGTAGCAAAGAAACAACCACATCTACAAAAGTAACAAAAATGACCATACAATCTATTCTTGTGGAAGTGCTTGTAATTTTGGAAGTTTTGTTCTTTCTTAAAAGGATATCAATATCAACGGCTAGAAAATCACCAGTAAAAATAGCTCATCTCTGTAAAAATGTGCTAGCAGAACAAACCTTGGCTGTGTATGTTGTTTTTTTTCTTTGTCACAAACTAATCTTATTTTTATTTCTTTTTTTTTTTGTTAAGCCATTTTAACTTGTCTTCAATACAACAACAATAACACTGGTTCTTTTTAATACAAATATGTACAGAGACTTTAACTTGTTTGAAAATAATGCCCTGCACACTGATGCATTATCTAGTGGTGATGCTGATAATGATTTTGTTTCAAATTTGTGTCACAGAAACAGTCCATGCAAGTCCGGTACCTGAATCGACAACAGTGAGATCACAGTTTCTTTAGCCTAGTAAAAACAGAATGGTTTTGCTGTTTTTGTCAGAATAAGATGGTCTCTACCTGCACGTTAACAAAACACATTTACTGTATATTCCCACACAAGATACAGTAGAACCCCACCCTTCCCAACCCACCCTACATGTCCCTCCCCTGACGACCATCCTCCCAGTGAGATGTCGTTAATGTACAGTGAATCCAGACCGAATGTTTCTCGGCAAAATTTTGAAACCAAGTGTAAACATACGGTTTGTATATATTTATATTTGGAAATGAGTGGCGTGAGAAAGGCACACATGATAAAGACCACACAGCTTAGAACTACAGCAGAAGGAGGGCGAGATAAGGGGGGGGGGGCGGGGGGGAGAAGAGGG